ACCTTCTCCTCTCTGTCAACGCTCTCTGGTTTCATTTAAAAGAGTCGATCATCAGATATTGTCCAACATTAACCTTCAGGGTGGATATACTGTAGCTCTGAAAGTAACTGAAAGTGAACGCTTTACAGTATTAAAGCACATATTATTACATTCTTTGAAGTGGCCATCTATATTTATAAGCAACAAAAGAAATACAAACCAGATTCAGCCACTTCTGAGATGGGCACATTTTGCTCGTAGGACATGAAACCCAAGATGGAGAAAATTGCAAACCCTGCAACAAAACTGGTGCCACTGTTCAGGAAACAGAGGCATATGCAATCCCTGCAAACAGCACAGACCATATACAAAGTAAATGTACTTTAGAAGCTACATTTGATAATAGATAATGCTACAAATTTGATTAACTTTATAAAACATTTTTTGTTTTCTTTTGTTCTGTTGAAATGTGTTAAAGACAAACTGAAGAGCAGAGACCACAATGTGATCCATGCAATAAAATTTCATTATATTATCTGAAAACTTACTTGTAGCAGTTGTTGTTATATTTGTTATAACTTCCCAGAGCCGTGAGGCAGCCCAGGCAGATGGCGTATGAGAAGAAGATCTGAGTTCCTGCATCCATCCATACCTGACCAAAGATGTATAAAAAACAAAAAAGGAAAACTCGTTACAGCGCACATTAAAAGCTGACTTATTTTTTCTTTTTCATTTGTCAAAATTTATAGTCAAATAAAATAATTACAATTCTCCGTTTGAGGAGTTAGAGAAAACTTCTAAAGCTAAAAATGAGTCCAATTCAGAGCAGATCTTATCAACGTCAGTTTTATTTAGATAGCACGTTAAAAACAAGAAGATTGACTGAAGTGCTTCACAAGAAGTTTAAGAACCAACAATAAAATAAGTTTAAATAATCATACAGTAAAATCCACAAGTATATTAAAGTAGTCTGAAAACAAACTAAAACAACAACAAAAAATCACAACTTTAAACTTCTGATAGAACTCAACTGAGTTTGAATGAGAAGCCAGTGTAAATAAGTGAGTTTTCAGGTGGGATTTTAAAGACTGTACAGAGTCAGCGGTACAAAAAGCAAGGGGCAGATTGTTCCAGAGTCTGGGGGCTGAAGATTTGTGGGTCGATACAGAAAAATTGATACCACCAATACCAGAACTTTATGCCCTAAATGAAATTCTAAAATAAAAATACTTTGATACTTCAATCATTTCAGATAATGTATATCTTTAACAGGAACTTTTAAAATCTTGTCTGTATCATACACGCTTGGTGGGAACTACATTTCCCTCCGCCTGGGTAATTGTGCAAGTGCAGCAGCACAAGCTGGTCTGATTAGCATTCACGTGTTCTAGATGTCAGCTGTTTGTGGGGAATTTCTTCCTGATACTATACACTTCTAATGCTTTGACAGCATCTACTGCAGGTAAGATACTGACTGGTGACAGCAACTCCATAGAACCCCGCTTAAAAAATATACCTATTTTTCAAACACACAATGCAGCTTTTGTGATGAATATGTCTACATGAAGAGAGGACATCCCTTTGAATCCTTAAAGAGGATGACCTGTGAAAACGCATTTCTTAATTCCACCCATCATCACTTCATTTGACAACTGCCAGGTGTTGCAGTCACACGTTGGAACTTGTTCCTCTCCTTCAGGTGACAGACGTTAAAGATATAACATTTTGTTCCAACAAAGTCCTTACATTTACATACGAAGCTCCTCATTAAACAGCATTAGGTTCTTGTGCCCAGTGAAAAGGCTGGTGCATCTGAAAAATTGTTTGACATTTTCATGCTCTGTCACCAATTTTTCATTAAAAAATTATGTTGTGATTATGAGCTCTCATAATTATAATCCCAACTCCCCACAAAAATTGGAATATTAAGTAAAATGTAAATAAAAGCTGAATACAAAGATCTGTAAATCTGATGAACCTATAATGAAATCACAGTGAAGTATATTTATCATGTCAAATGATTATCTGACACTGTGAAAATGGGTAATTGTACACATATTGTACATACTTATACATTTATATTCAGGTGGGGTCGCAGTAGCTTGGTGGTCAGTGTGAGGCTGCAGGTTTTAAGCCCAAATTAATCTGGTGTAAAACAATTAGCCAAATCTTTGGTGTGAGAAGGGAGAAACTGAAAGAACAATGTTTCAGTGTGAATAAAATATGTGACCCATCATATCGAAATGAAGATTAAGTCAAATTTGGTCAAAATGACCTAATTATATTTTCAGATTATTGACTTTAAAAGCTACATTTTGATACCTGGATCATTCTGATATCATAATTAAATCCATATATATGACTTAATTTGTCTTGTTGGTTACAATAATNGACTTAATTTGTCTTGTTGGTTACAATAATACATAAATATTTGGTCTGAATCCTAATTTTATGTCATTTTTTGAAGAATTTTTGATGTCCTTATAAAGAGAAAACCTCAAATTATATTTCAATTTTGACATTAACCAGCTGAAAAGAAACAAAACTTTGCTAACTCACAGAGAAAATCTCAAAATTTTAAGGCGTTTTTCCTCAAAATCAGTTTTTTTGTTGCTACTGCTCAAGAAAGTGCTTCAAAATTTAGTTTCATGATTAAATTTCAGACAGTTCATTCAAATGATACATTGATTAGGCTTTTATTCGTTATATTTTGACAAAATGCAATTTTTGTTAACATTTTAGTCAAAACACTATTTTTGCCTATTTCTCCTTATACCACTTTTGGACTTAATCCTCGTTTCGATGCGATGGGTCACATATGCTGCAGTTTGCTTTTATTTACATTTTACACTACTTTCCAACTTTTTTGGAGTTAAAGTCAGACAACTTTTCTAAAACAGATCTTGTCATGTCTGTTAAACCAATAACACAAGATCTCCATCACCCTCGTATTTTAAGTCAAGAGAAACCGTCAGTCAGTAAGCCCATTCAAGGTGTAAAGTGCAGCACTTTTTGAACGCTCATTCACATTTTAAAATTCTCATTAGGTTTCTCTGCGTAGCATCCTGGCAGACAGGGCTGTGGATTTGACTGACTGGGGTTCCAGCCAACTGCACAAACACTGGGCACAGCATTTCACAAAGGCAGATTCTCCAAAGACAGCGATTCCACCGGCCTGGCTTGACTTGGCCAGCACTCATGGGACTCGTATTCATCCCCTGAGCCATGAGAGTGAATGAAGCGGAGGAGGCCCCATTTTTGGATTTTCCTGCCTGAAATGCAAGCTTTTAGATCTTAGCAGTCACAGTGCATCAGATTGATCTTACAGTAAGGTGGTTAGAGCATAATGTCCCAAATGACACTCTAAATGCTGTGAGTGTGAACAAAACAATTACATCTGACATTGACAGCACTGAGTGCTTTTTGTTTCAAACCCTTAAAGTGCCTGTGACATCAAATTTTTGTTATACATAAGAATGCATTTTTAGAAAGAGGACATTGATTAAATATTGCAAAAGAAATTTCATGTCGCTGAGATGAACAGTTGTTGAGAGATTGGCGTGTGAAGAAACAGGAAGTGATGTCAAAAGGGAATGTCTGCATGTGAACAGAGCGTTGCTACAATAGCCAACAACCCAGACTGTAGAAAAGAATATGATGTTTCTTAAAATTATTTTGAGTCACTATCAGAGAGAGATGAAGAAGATTCAGAGTTCAAATAATAATGTTTCAGTAAACAAAGACCAGAGAGTTTTCTTTGTTAAAGAGTTCCTCTTTGATGTCACTTCCTGTTTCACTTTGGCTGAGCCAAGTTCAAATGAAAATATGCCAGTTATGGGACAAAATGGGTTAAACTGTGTGTATTATTCCAACTTTCTTAGATATAAAAATGTTTTCTTTGACTTTTTGTATTTGAAGAATATGCATGTCACAGGCACTTTAAGTCGACCACATCTCAAATAAAGAAGCAGCTCATCAAGCTCAAGCTGATAATTTATAGTTAATGTGATCACACTTTGATCAAGACTACAACAAAACTTTTTGTAAAAAGAGGTCTTTGACCAATTAAGAGTTTTGTACATTGAAGTGCTAAATAAAAAAAAAATCCACAGGTTTTTGTAAAGTTATCTTAACATCTTTGACTTTGTACATCTGTGTATAACAATGTAAGAGTATATTTGAGGGCAATTCTGCTTCCTATTTTTTTAAAAAACTTACTTGTGGGTCAGACAGTCTTCCCAAGTCAGGGTACAGGTAGAAATGGATTCCCCTGGAGGCTCCAGGTAGGGTGACCCCTCGGATCAGTAGTATTATTAGCATAATATAGGGGAAAGTGGCTGTGAAGTAGACCACCTGTAGGGAAAGACATTAAGTTCTTGTTAAACAATTGAATGAAAAAATAGAATCTTATAACAAATTCTGCTCCAGATTCTTGAGTTTATTGAGGTCCAGGCTGTCAGATGGTGATCTTTGTTCATTAAGATGACACACATTTTGTTTAAGCTCTGTGATTTACTGTATTTATTTGTGTAAAATATGATCTCATGTATGATAAGACCCCCCTTTTTTGAGCTTAAAAAGCATAAAAATTGAATCCTCAAACTACCTCCAATTTCATACAGACTTCAAGATTTTTCAACCTTTGCAGTCTTTATACATATCAGTAAAATGATAATTGAACTGTTCATTTATTTTAACAGCATATGTACTAAAAGGTATTTTGACAACAAATATATATCAGCAAACTATGATTTTGAGCATTCTGGCATTTTACACATAGTCCACCAGGAGGCGCCAACACAAACGTCAGAGACCACATGAGATTTGGACCATCTTCTGGGGAAAAAGCAGATTACTTCCTACTCGTGAGTCTGGTGGGAAACCTTTTTTCAGGGATACAAACTTTTTCAGAACACCGGTAGACGGCAGCCATTACAGACGAACATGTGTTTGTTGTTCCAGCAGCAGCTCGGTCACACGCTAATGTCATTAGTTTGTTATCATTACTGAGCTGCAGGACTGCTTTCCCCCCTTTTTTTCACATCATGTCGCCTGCCTGGATCTGTATTATCTCGCTCTGAAGCACGGAGGAGTGTCAGAGGTGAGCTTGTTTCAACTGCTTTTCACGACGCGGTCTCATTTCCGGACTCAGGCATTTTGCTGATATTTCAGATAAATAAGTAAAAATATTTGTCCGAGTATAATACTACCCCCCAACTTTATGGATGATTTTATGGATTAAATTTTACGTATTATACTCGAATAAATACTGTATTTCAAACACAGGGCCTCTTATGTGATGAAACAAACAAACAAACAAAAGAACATCTAGTTTCCAAGGCTTATAATTGAAATGCACAACTTCCTCCACTTTGTCTCGTAGTTAGAAACATTGTTTCACCTTGCCGGTGGATTTGACTCCCTTCCAGATACAGAAGTAGCAGATGACCCACGCAAAAGCCAGACAAGCAACTAGATCCCAGTTCAAAGCACCAATGTGGTCGATCCCTGAGGAAATCCTCAGCACTCTGCGCCTGAGTCCACAGAAACAATAAAGACAAACATTTTCCATCATTAGATTTTAACAGTTATCTAAAAAATACCACTTTAAAATTAGCAAAACACTCTGATGTGATTGACTGATAACTTCATTCAAATCACTGGGTATTTGCCTCTTGAGGAGATGCAACAACAAAAAAAGGCACTTACTCCCAAAACTCAATGACAGAAGAGGTGACGTTCTCATGGTGATTGATGGAGCTATTCCCCCTCTGAAATACCATACAGGAATCTTGAATGAAGAATAGACAAAAAGGACATTCAATCCCGTGAAGAAATCCAAGCTTTCGCTCAGGTTTCCAAGTTACACTCAGATGAGAGAAGCAATGTCCCCGCTGAGACAGAAGAGTGAAGTGGAGCAGGAACATTCACTTCCTTGACATGAAACAAGCGTATGAATGGATAAGATGATGAAGAGGTCCACCAAGAAACATTACGCACGGATAGTTGGGACATGTAATTTTGATAAACAACTTTAAATGTCTAAAACCTAATTCACATTTTCACTTTTTTGTGATCAGCATGTGAAGGCTTCAAGCTAGTGAACTGTTAGCAACAAAGCTAGCATGTTGATGTTTAACGGTTTTCTAGCTAAGCTTTTAATTCTACATTGAGTGTTGGTCAGAAATGGAAAATTTAGGTTCAAGTTGAAATTTTAAGCATATTTGGCAATAATTCATGACAGGAAAATCAACACAATTTTTGTTTGTGCACCTGTTTTTATGTGTGGGAACTAGCTAAAATTACTCTATGGGAAAATGGGGTTCCTGCAAGTTGTGAAATTATAATCTTACTTTGTTAACAGAGGCCCACTATGTTGTCATTTTTGGACTAAAACCTTTTATTTCTAAAAACACAACCATAGAAACCAATATTTAACTCTGACTAACCCTGACTTCAAAATCCAGTTTAGTTGGTAATAAACTCTTGATTTTCAGTCCTGTCTATTTGTATTATCCTCAGTGTAGTCTACTACCCAGCCATTATTAGTGAACATGTCAATTCAATGTTTGAATTTATAAAATGCAAAAATTTTCATATTGATTTCTATAACTAATATAAAAAATGTTAACCTGGTCATTGAACACAACTAACAAATCCTGCTGCCTTTCCAACTCAAACATGGAGAACCTGAGTCTGATATCATCCCAGGATATGAATTTAGTTGTAAACAGAATGTAGAATTTAGCTGTCAGAACATTAAACATGTTTTATAGATGATTTTATACAGTTTTGCTTGTGCAGACCAGCTCAGTAATGCTGCGTTCACACCGAACGTGATTTCAGCKTCAAAATCGCATCCAACGCTGAAGTTGGTCACTTGTGCACTTTGAGGTCAGACGCAGGTCAGCTCTTGAAGAGCTGCACGGCAACAGCCTCCCCGCCCCTCCCTCCTCTNTTGTATGTAAACCTGCTGCTCCTGATGCTGAAATCACGTTTGGTGTGAACGCACCATAAGAATACAGCTCTTTCATGGTATCTTGTTTCAAATCATTAAAGCAAAAAAAAGTTAAGCCATAGTCTTTTTAGATACTTTTCATGATAATTAGAACCACATAGATGTGAAGGGTGATCAAGGTGATGCCAAAACATAAAATATAAAGTAGGGTTTTGCTCAGTAACATTGATATTCATATTCTCTTGGCACGAATGTGTCAAATGTCTTTTTGCTCATATATCACTGGTGGAAGTGGTAGTGATTCATTAGGGTCTTGAGAATTGTTACTTTGGAATGTGAATGTTGAATTTCACAATGATCAGCTGACGTAGCTTCTTCATTCTTCACTGATAGAAAAAAGATTACTTTGACCACCAAGTGTTAGGAATGAAAACAGGTCACCTTGTACTGGCATAAAGAGAAAAAAGTGCTCCACTATGTAAGAAATATTCGTGTTCAAAGACTGAAGTCAATAGAAAACCACCAATGTTAAATAATATGA